TGAACCAAATTGCTGAAGGTTTAACTACATTAATACGATGAGTAAATCACTTACCAAGGCTTAACAGTAAGAATATTCAAGCTGCAGCTAATGTTAAGTTTAATCTATAATAATATCCAAAACTAATTTCGATTCTAGCATAAATTATCTCATTCTTGGATCCATTTCTAGGCTCTTTTTGAAACTATACACTCATATTCGTAGTGAAAATCACATGAATAATTCCATAGACCATCACTATTTCTAATAATTCTAAGTATTTGTTCTGAAGTCTGAAAATAGTTGGAATTATACTCCAATAAATAAAAATTCTAAAACCTACATTCCATCGATGATGTAAATTATCTATTTAAGATGATAAGGTTTTTGCAAAAGTCTCTTTACAGAATTCGATGTAAATATTTTTCTTATACTTTCATTTCTAAGAACCATGTGGTTTGATTTCGCTTTTTCATCTTAGAGTCTGTGGATAATTCCTTTCCTGCTTCTTTTAGGGCAGTAAAGGTCTACCTGGCATTCCCGGAACCGATGGTCGACCGGTAAGCTGTAGTCTGCGAATTATATTTATTGCTTTACTTTATTAGTGCAAAAAATATATCTGATATATTTTGGAAATAATTGTATTACTTACTAGCTTGTCTAATGCTAGAAAAATTGACTGGTAAAAATTGTGTAGCTCATTTAATTGAAGGATTGTTTATACTTACAAACTTAGTATAGCCTGACATCGTTTTGAAATTTTTCACTTGTACCCTGCGCAGTTAGAATAGTCAACACACTGTATTGCATCGAAAACTATCTAGCAATCTGAACGTATTTTAGACCATTCTTGCAAATGTATAATTATTTTGCCTTACTTCTGTTAGATATCATCAATCTGCATAGAAAACATCCTCATCAAGTGCCAAGCAGAGGAAAAGAGCAGCTGTAGATACAGTAATAGTAGTGCCAAGACATAATCTAAATGTGGACTGTAGAGAGGCAATACGCTTAGATATGCATACTTCTTAAAACCAGCCATCAGATACTCCATCAATTTTGCCTAATTATCCGCACTCCTAGGTTCATTAATTTCCTATGTGATAATTTCCTTCCTCTTTAGTGTGTGCTCCTCATTATCGTTGGCATTTCTTCCTACATTGGGCCTCCTTAAATAAGCCTTGTTAATGAATATTTACCAGAAAGACATTAATGCATTCCCAATTTTATCTTTCCCGTACTTTTAATGTATAGGACCCTTTTTGCTTGCGTTCAGTTGCTTTATGCTCTGTTAAATTTTAAAGACGTAGCCTAAGCTATTTAATTTAAACTAGCCACCCTATTTGTAAGTCCAAAGGTTTGAAGCACCACTTCTTAAATATTGCACACTCGGCCTCTCTGGTTCGTTCTCCGTGCCCCTAGATACATGCATTTTATTTGATAATTTATTTTTTTACGGAGTGTGGATTGCTTATACTTTTTATGCTGACAATCCAGAACTAGGGCTATTATGCCAATCTACTCATCTAGGAATATAAGTATTTATTTTTCAATGTTATTTCTCCACTAATGCTTGACTCACTACCATCTGCAGAGTCAAACAATCCTGCCTTAAAGGTGAACTGCTTATTTTTCTAAGGGATAGGGAATACCCTTTCTGAAATCTTTATTATTTTGTGAGTAGTCGATTGGCGAATTTGTTGTTTGGCTGCAAGTTAAAGCGAATTAGAAAAGGACATTTCTGAAATATATGTCATTTTTTGTCCTACAAAAATTATATCCTATTCTCCATAGTTCTATCAGGTCATGGTTTCAAGTCACTTTATTTTATCACAGCACATATTGCTATTATTTAATCTTTACATAGTTTCAATTTAATAATGTGTAGCTCAAGAGCCAGTTCACCGCCAACTTAATATTTTAACATGAAGTAATCACATAATTTATAATGAAACTGTCTATTTTTCAGGGCAGACCAGGCGTTACCGGGCCAAAAGGTCTTCCCGGTGCGTCAGGATGCTGTGGGGCCAAGGTACTATATAAACCTATTTATATTTTACATTATAGTAATTATTGTAAAATACGTAATTAGTTAGTCTTACGTAAAATACAATAAACTATCAAACCTTCACTATTCACTCTGACACATTGAGTATATTCTTATTACGAAATTATCAGGGACCTAAAGGACAGGCTGGCTCTCATGGTCCACCTGGCTACGATGGTGCCGAAGGTGACCCTGGTGATAAAGGAGTGAAGGTAAGCATATGTCTTCAAGGTATAAAAGCTACTTTTCCTAATCATTATCTTATTTAGTCTACAAATAATTCATTAAACGTGCATACCACGTTTATTCATTCTCAAAATGTATGTTTTATGAAATATCTTTTGTTTTCGAGTACACTTTGACGGCTAAAACGATTGAATTTACTAAGATAACACACATAAATTAGCTTGTTTGTGCAAGGTTAACTAGACTTCCGTATAAAATAGTCATTTTACCCAAAGCAATTTGAATAAGGTGTATTAATTCTTGAGTCATAACGTTCTCTTTAAATTAGATTTGCGAGATAAACTTTGATAAAGGAAATATTTCGTTTTGAGTAGGTTTTGGAAACTACCAGTAAATCGGATCTATGAATTATATATGAAGAAAAGTTGGGTTTCGAGGAATCTCTTGTTTCATAATTGTTGAGCTTACCTCCATTTCAATAATAAGTGTTGGGTGAAGAGATTCGAAGGTCAGTTACACGCGAAGACGACGGCGGATTTCTTTTGACCAGCTGTAGATTGGCTTTACTGGAAGATTCATGCTGACGCTGTTTCCGAGACAATCTCCTTCGATTCCAGTGAAAAGGTGCTAAGCTTTCGTCCGTCATATGACGAACATCATCAAAGCAAGGTATCATCGTCACAACCAAATTCGAATCTCTTTATTCAACACTTCTATGAATTATGTTCACCATATTTCATTTAAGATCATGAAGGACTCGTAGTTGCATTTGCCCATAATGATATGAGTAGAGCAGATAACTCATAGATCGGATTTACTAATAGTCTCAAAAGCCTACTCAAAATGAAATATAAGTAATGTCGTCGATTTCATTAGCAAATATAAATTCGCAATACAGAATGTGATATGGAAAATGCCTGACCCTCCCTGAAATTCACATCTGCCCTGTGACCCAAGGTCTCTCGTAGCAATATTATGTAATGGTTAACGTGGCGAGATTACATGCTGCACTGTGATGGTTTGACTGCCGCAGAGAGTGTTCATAAGACCTAAGTGAGGTCATAACTGAAGTCTACCCTGGATGAGAACACCTTTTGGACAGAAAGGCTATGAGAAATTCGATGGAAACGTCAGTTCTACTCATATGATTGTGGGAAACTTCAACTACCAGTACGTTATCACCCTAAACAAAATAGGGTAAACATAATTAATAGAGGG